TGTGTGTGTGTGTGTGTGTGTGTGTGTGTGTGTGTGTGTGTGTGTGTGTGTGTGTGCGTCTGCGTCACACTTTTCGTACGTTAAAAATTTCCACCATATTTGTCTCTAAAAATTGGCGCCCGAGCAGCTTCCCGAATTCTGCCGCCATCAAGAGACGGACGGACGGAGGAAGAGGAGGGGCCCCGAGACCGAGAGACAAACGAGGAGCGAGCCAGACTGAAGATGTGACGGAGGACAGATGGAGACAAACAGACCGACAGTGACAAAGCGAAGGGGAAACGCAGACGACGTTGTTCAAGCCCCAGAGCGGCCATCATCCTCGGCCATTACCGCAGGGATCTCCTCCTTCGGTCAGCATTAGCTCATCAGACAAGTGATTACTGCTGCTGCCGTGATTCCATTAAGTAACGAATTTATGCTGCATTATTCTATTACAGGACGAAACATTACATTTGCATTATTTAATCAAAGACGGCATTGGTTTGCATTATGTCGTTAAAGATGTCGCTGGGTTGCATTAGGCCTCGGAAGATGGCTTTTGATGTGCATTAAACATGGCGTGCAGGGCGGCTTGGAAATTGCTGTTCAGTAATGTCAAATTAAAACGCATAACAATTAAGAAAGCTCTCTGTGCACGGCATCGCAAAACAAAACACAGCTGTTGTCTCGTTGTTGTGTTAAAATCTAATTCCTTTATTTGTTTTTTAAAACTTTGGCTGACGGAGAGTTTTGTGGAAAGTGGCCAAGCCCGTCGGGGGAGGGGGGTGAATTTTTCCGAACCCGCAGGATGAGCTCTGGGATGCACAGCTGTGAGGCTGGAGAAGAAAACAAATCCTCCCAAACCAGTGAACATCTTGCAAGCTCAGATTCCACCGGAGTGTTCGAGTCTGTAAAACATCTGCTGAGCAGCAACTCAGCTGCACGAGCTGCAGAACGTGTCAGAGAAGTGAAAGTGTTCTGATGACGACATGTTTCGTCTTCGCTCGAAACTTTGTGAAGAACCGTTGAAACGGCAGGTTTGGGACCTCTGTGATATGAAACCTGACTTTGGAAACTGCAACGTTTCTGTTTAAAAACGGATTCCAGCATTCAGCTGTTATCGTCCAACTCACTGGAGACGTCCATGTTGAGCCACTGAACCAAAACATTGAGCTAAAAGAGGCTGAAACCTGCTTCGAGCTTCAGAGTCCCGTGTCATTTTTTTGTTGACTGGATTTTAATTCTCCTGCAGCTTCACACGAATAAAAATAAAATAGGATGAAGGTGGAAAGAGGCATGAAATCATTTACACATCAGGATGTCTCACTCACTCGACCCGGTATCTTGAAGAGTATTCTTTTGCTGAAACAAAGCTGTCGGCTGTAACTAATTTGATTTCCGATGTCTCATAACTGCCTTGAGAAGTCTGAAGTGAAGATTTGTGAAGTGAAGCTCCTCTGCAGTGTTATTTTTTTCTTCTGCTCACCGAGCAGGTCCTGTAAATGACTTTCTTTACTGACAGATCTCTTTTTGCTCCCTCGGGGTTACGCTCTCTTTCTCCGAGCTTTCTTAACTCTAATGACGAACCGCAGCCGCCATGCAGATAGACGTTTTTATCAAGTGTGGGGGTCAAGCGAGGTCATTTTTAATCTTTCGCAGAGGAGTTTAAAATGGACACGGCCTTTACGTCGGTCACTTTGTGCCCCTGTGGTTCGGCAGATTCATCGCGTCGCTTTAAAAACTGAGGACAAGGTCACAGCTGCTTTTTCAAACTCACTGTGATAAAGTTCAAGAACTGGTGGACAAATGCAGTGTCTTGTTATTAAGAGTTAGATAATTGTAAATGGTTGAGGTTTTAGTCATTGTGCAGTTTTGTAAATTCAAATCAAGTTTTGATCTGTTAACAGTTTCCGTCTCCGATTTAAAAAGAAGTCGTTCTTTTCGCCGAGCGTCGTCTCGCGGTGTTCCTGGCTCTGAACAGACCGCACGGCTCAGGTGGAAGAAACGTGGGATTCAGCAGGAAAATCTGACTCAACCTTCGAGAAACATATGGCGAGGAGAGCTGATGCTGCGGTCAGCGCCATCGGAGGGCGGAGTGAGCCCGCTGGGTAACATCTCACGGTGCCAACATTCAGGAGTGAAAAGAATACGGGATTAATTTATCCCCAGCGCAGTTTAGCTGTTTAACATGCAAACAAAACAATGCAGCTTTTCACCTGCGTGAGAAAACCTCACATTTCCCACTAATCATCAACTTTTTTTATGGGACTATCTGGAGCCGTTGACTCGAGAGTTGGTGGTTTTATTTTATTTTATTTTATTTGCCGTTGTAATTTTCTGTGTGTTTTATTGTGTTGTATTATTGTTGTGTGTTTTTCATCATAAATCCAGCCTGGAAACAAACACACAAAAACTCCTTCAGGGACAATAAAGGTTAAATTAAAAGGGAAATGAAGTGAAATGAAAAGAGTGTGTGTGTGTGTGTGTGTGTGTGKKGTGTGTGTGTGTGTGTGTGTACAGTACCATATGTGCATATGGGCACATATGCATATGTGTGTGAGCACTTATTGGCCCTCAGCCTTCGTACAATCAGAATAAGTGCATTTCCGTAATTGAAAGGAAAACAAGTAGTTGACCTTCCCAAATTCACCTTCCTACGTTTTACCAAGTGAAAGCAACTATTATATTATATTATATTATATTATATTATATTATATTATATTATATTATATTACATTATATGATATTACATTATATTATATTATTAGTGGCCTGTTCTGGTCTTGGAGAGGGAAATAAGAGTTTATTACTTTGTTGATGATGACAACCAGACGTCCACTTCACAGCAGACCAACAAGCAGAATCAAACCGGCTGCTCTCCCGTCTTTACCAGTTTTCTTTTCCTAAAGTCGAAGTTAAAATCTTGTTTGAACTCATTAAAGGTTCTGTTGTTGATCAAATGTCTCCTGTTTGTTTAACAGAAAGTTGTTGCGGGTCCAAGAGAAGAGAGATCCTCCCGTTTCTAAACTGAACCTCCGGAGTCACGTGGCTGGAACTGGACACTGAGGTGAGGAGGCAGGTTTTAAAGAAAGAAAAAGGAAACAGACTCTTTTCATATTTCCAGACTTGAATCATGTTCGACTCTCGTCTCTGTGTCTCCAGCGTTGCGTCTCGATAAAAACACTGTTACAGCGTTTATCACTGTTGATTATGAGGAAGCTTTCGCCCAGTGTGAGCTCAAAGAACAAGATTAGTTTAGTAACGGTTGGATTTTTGTTTGATACCGATATCTAGATCATTCCTATTGAGTTTGAATGCATTTGATTTGAACACTAAAAATACAGGAAAAAGGTGTTTCAGGTATTAGATCTTTTAAATATTTGGACTAAA